CAGCATGTAAAAAATGACCTTATAGAAATGGATAAGAAGTATAACAGAAAGTTTGAAGAATTGAGTAAATCAGTGAATGATAACCTAGGAAACCAAGGAAAAACAATCAAACAGATAATGGAAACAGTTCAAGACTTGAAAAATGAAATGGAGGCAAGGAAGAAAACACAGAGGGCCGGCTGGACATGGAAAATCTAGGTAAATGAATAGAGACTACAGACACAAGCATAACCAAATGAATACAAGAGATAGAAGAAAGAGTCTCAATTCTGAAGATACCATAGAGAAAATAAATGCACTGATCAAAGAAAACAGCAAAACCAACAAACTCTCATCACAAAACATTCAGGAAATCTGGGACACAATAAAAAGCCCAAACCTAAGAATAATAAAGGTAGAAGAAGGAGAAGAAGAACAGCTCAACGGTCCATAAAATATATTTAATAAAATTATAAAAGAAAACTTTCCCAACCTAAAGAAAGATATACCTATGAAGGATCAAGAAGCATATAGAACACTAAATAGACTGGATAAAAAAAAAAACCCCATCCTCTTGCCATATAATAATCAAAACACAAAGCATACAGAATAAAGAAAGAATATTAAGAGCTGCAAAGGAAAAAGGTCAAGTTACTTAAAAAGGTAAACTTTCAGACTTATACCTGACTTCTCTATGGACCATGAAAGCCAGAAGGTCCTGGATAGAGGTACTGCAAAAACTAAGAGATCATGGATGCAAGTCCAGACTACTATACCCGGCCAAGCTTTCGTTCACTATAAATGAAAAAAAAAATTTGCAGGATAAAAACAAATTTTAACAATACGTAGCCACAAATCCAGCCTTACAGAAAGTAATAGAAGGAAAATCAAGAACCAAGGAGTCCAACAATGTAAACAATAACTCAGACTAATGACCCATCACCAGCACAACTCGAAGAAGGGAAACACACTAACTTTACTACCAAAAAAGTGACCGGAGTTAACAACCACTGGTCATTAAAATCACTTAATGTCAATGGACTCATTTCACCCATAAAAAGGCACAGACTAAGAGATTGGATACGAAAACAGGATCCAACGTTCTGCTGTTTACAAGAAACACACCTCAATCACAAAGACAGGCACCTACTCAGAGTAAAGGGATGGGAAAAGGCTTTTCAAGCAAATGGACCTAAGAAACAAGCAGGTGTGGCCACACTAATTTCTAACAAAGATGACTTCAAACTTAAATCAATCAGAAGAGATGGAGAGGGACATTTTATACTCATAACAGGAACAATTCATTAAGATGAAGTCTCAATCCTGAATATCTATGCCCCTAATATAAAAGCACACACTTATGTAAAAGAAACATTACTAAAACTCAAGGCAGTCATCAAACGGCACACACTAATAGTAGGAAACTTCAACACTCCTCTCTCACCAATGGACAGGTCAATCAGACAGAAACCTAACAGAGAAATAAGAGAATTAATGGAGGTAATGAATCAATTGGACTTAACAGACATCTATAGAATATTCCACCCAAATAGGAAAGAATGTACCTTCTTCTCTGCAGCTCATGGAACCTTCTCGAAAATTGACCACATACTCGGTAACAAAGCATACTTTCAGAGTTACAAAAAAATATTAGTAACCACCTGTGTCTTATCAGATCACCATGGATTAAAGTTAGAATTCAAAAACAATGATACCCACAGAAAGCCTACAAACTCATGGAAACTGAACAGTCAACTACTGAACCACACCCGGATCAAGGAAGAAATAAAGAAAAATATTAAAGTCTTCCTGGAATTCAATGAAAATAAAGAAATAACATACTCAAACTTATTGGGCACTATGAAAGCAGTCCTAAGAGGAAAGTTCATAGCACTAAGTGCCCACTTAAGAAAACAGAGAAAGCACACATTGGAGACTTAATAGCCCACCTGGAAGCTCTAGAAAAAAAGAAACAGACTCACCTAGGAGGAGTAGAAGACTGGAAATAATCAAACTGAGGGCTGAAATCAACAAAATAGAAACACAGAAAACAAACCAAAGAATCAATGAAACAAAAAGCTGGTTCCTGGAGAAGATCAACAAGATTGATTAAACTCCTATCCAAACTAATCAAACGGCAGAGAGAATATGGAAATTAATAAGATCAGAAATGAAATGGGGGACAAAACCACAGACACAGGAAATTCAGAGAATCATTAGATCTTACGACAAAAGCCTATATGCCACCAAACTGGAAAATGTAAAAGAAATGGACACTTTTTTAGATAAATACCATATACCAAAGTTGAATCAAGACCAGGTGAACAATCTAAATAGACCTGTTAGTCACGAAGAACTAGAAGCTGTTATCAAAAACCTCCCTACCAAAAAAAAAAAAAAAGCCCAGAACCAGATGGTTTCAATGCGGAATACTACCAGAACTTCCAAGAAGAACTAATACCTATACTCCTTTATGTATTTCACAATATAGAAACAGAAGAGTCATTGCCAAATTCCTTTTATGAAGCCAGTTCCTCTGTTACCAAAACCACAGAAACACCTACCAAGAAATAGAATTACAGGCCAAACTCACTCATGAACATCGACGAAAATCCTCAACAAAATACTGGCAAACCCGGGCAAAAAATGGGATCTTGGGGGTGGGATGGGAGGGAGGTAAGGGGAGATGGGGAGAGAAAAGTGAGAAGGGGAGGATGGGGGGAACTTGGGAAATGGGAGGTTGGGGATAAAGGAAGGTTGGATAGGGGAGCAGGGAAGCACACATCTTAATTAAGGGAGCCATCTTAGTGTTGGCAAGAGATTTAGTGCTCCCAGGTGCCCAGGGCGATGTCCCCAGTTAGTTCCTGGGGCAGCTGAGGACAGAGAACCTGAAATGACCCTATCCTATAGCCATACTGATGAATATCTTGCATATCACCATAGAACCTTCATCTGGAGATGGATGGAGATAGAGACAGAGACCCACACTGGAGCACCGGACTGAGCTCCCAAAGTCCCAAGGAGGAGCAGAAGGAGGGAAAATATGAGCAA